TGGGGGGGGGTTCAAACAGATCCTTCACTTCCATATGTGTGAAGTCACACCATGGTCTCATTCATGTGAGACCGCCAGATTTCTACTGAGGCAGCTGCTGCAAAGATGCAAAGTCTCAGGAAGGATCTGAATCTGGAAAAAAAAAAACACTGGGGAATGCAATGGTGGGTGCTGGACATTAAACTGGTGCGATTGAGAATTGCTGATGCTTTTATTTCAACTTTCTTCGCATTTCATGTCCAAGTCCAAGACATGAAAACAAAACTGCCTGAGAAGCAAAAGTGAGATGAAAACAGAGAAAATAGCAAGCTACAATGTTTTCTAATCCAGTTTATCAGGCTTTACAGCAGAGCCTCCGCTCGGCTCCAGTTCACCTCCATCTGATTAAGTTTGTGCACCTCTGAGAGGCTTAGAGCTGGAGTCACCATACATCCCTCAATTCACTCTCGCCTATCTGAGTGCAGTTTCAGTTGCATCTCTCTACCTTTCTGTTGCATAAATAAACACATCCTCCATTGTCTGATGAATGTTTGCTTTGTAAGGGAGACAGCAGTCCTGACGATCCCTCTCTCACTTCAACTGTCTAATGACCAACTGTAAATAAAGCTCCTTCATTTTACACAATAAACAAAATACTTCAAAATATGATCATAATGTTCTCTTAAATAAAGGTGGACTTCAGGCACCTCAACTTCTTCTTCTTTGTCTTTTCCCTCTTCAAGGGTTGCCACAGCAAGTCATACTTCTCCATCTCACTCTGCCCTCTGCATCCTCTGTCCTCACTCCACGTCCATGTCCTCTCTAACTGCATCCATATATCTCCTCTTTGCCTTCATTTTTGTTTTTTTCCTGGCATCTGCATTTCTAACATCCTTCTACCAATATAATCACTGTCCCTCCTCTGGACATGTCCATACCATTGTTCCTCCTCTAGACATGTCCATACCATGGTCCCTCCTCTGGACATGTCCAAACCATCTCAGTGTGTCCTCTCTAACTTGATCTCCAAGTTGTTCAACATGTGCTGTACCTCTGATGATCTCATTCTTAATCTTATCCATTCTTGTCACACCTAAGGAGAACCTCAACATCTTCATTTATGCTAATTCCTGTTCTTTCTCCTGTATTTTGGTCAGTACCACTGTTTGCAGACCTTACATCAAAGTTGGTCTCACCACTGTCTTGTAAACTTTTTTGTTGATCTTTGCTGACACCCTTTTGTCGCAAATCACTCCTGAAACTTTTCTCCATCCACTCCGTCCTGCCTGGGCTCTCTTTTCACCTCTTTACCAAACTCCCCATTTTTCTGGACAGTGCCTGGAAGTATTTGAAGCACCTTTGTGACCTCTGTGCCTTGTATTGTAGCCTCAGTGTTCCACCAGCCTCCCTCTCATTCACACACATCTACTCTGTCTTACTACAGCTGACTTCCATTCATCTTCTTTCAAGTGCATACCTCCACCTCTCCAAGTTCTCTTCCAACAGCTCCTTGTTCTCACCACAGATCACAATGTCATCTGCAAACATCATAGTCCATGGGGATTCTTGCCTGACCTCATCTGTTAGTCGGTCCATTACCAGAGTAAACAAGAAGGGGCTCAGAACTGATCCTTGATGCAATCCCACCTCCACCTTGAAGCTATCTGTCACTCCTACAGCACATCTCACCACTGTCCTGCTGTCCTCATACATGTCCTGTACCAGTCTAACATACTTCTCTGCCACTCCAGATTTCCTCATGTAACACCACACCTCCTCCCTCTGTACCCTGTCCTATGCTTTATCTAAACCTACAAAGACCAGATGGATTTCTTTCTGATCCTCTCTGTACTTCTCCATCGGCATCCTCAAAGCAAAGATGGCATCGGTGGTGCTCTTACTTGGCATGAAACAATACTGCTGCTCACAGTCACCTCTCTTCTAAGTCTTGCTGCCACAACTCTCTCCCAGATCTTCATCATGTGGCTCATCAACTTAATTCCGCCGCATTTGCTACAACTCTGTACATCACCCTTGTTCTTCAAAATGGGCACCAGCACACTTCTTCTCCATTCCTGAGGCATTTTCTCTCCTTCAAATATGTCATTGAATATTTGAGTCAAAAACCTCACTGCCATCTCACCAAGACATTTCCAAACCTCCATTTGTATGTCACCAGGTCTTACTGCCATCAATTTCTTCATTCTTTTCTCTTCTTCATAACAGTCATTCTACACACAGCCATTCAATGCTGTCTGGCCATGCTCTCCCCTGCCACAACCTTACAGTCCCCTATCACCCTCGGGGTTTCTCTTCTACACAGGATGTAGTCGACCTGCATACTCCTTCCTCTACTCTTATAGGTTACTCTATGTTCCTTCCTCTTTTGGAAATAAGTGTTGACTACAGCCATTTCCATTCTCGTGGCAAAATCCACCACCATCTGTCCTTCCTGGTTTCTTTCCTTGGCACCAAACTTACCCATCACTTCCTCATCCCCTCTGTTTCCTTCACCAACATGTCCATTCACGTCTGCTGATCACCACTCTCTCCTGCCTGGGAATACTCTCTATCACTTCATCCAGATCAGTGACATGCAGTGAGCTTTGTGACAGGTGAGGCACTGACTGTCTGGAATCGATGCTCACATATATGAACCCAAAATAGAAGCTTATATTTCAGTTTAGTCTCTTTTTCTTCCTCTCTCTAATACCTTTTGTTTTGACTGAAAATCCAGTTGAGTAAAATCCTTTAGTTTTAAGGTATGGTCTTCCATTTTGTCTAAACAAATTTAAATGATTGTGCCATTTGCTTCACCCCTGCTGCCCCTCTGCATATCAGAAGAACGCATAGAGACTGAAACTGCTTCATTGTCCCTATGGGGCAGCACTGCCCCCTATCAGTGTGGCAAGGGATATTCTGCCTCACCTCTGTGAATTTTCAGCGTGCATTATGACAGATTAAAAAGAATTATGTCACACACATATATTCAATATATTAGACAGACTGTAGAACATCAGCATGTGCACCAAATGTGTAATCAAACATGTATATTGGCAATATAAAGAGGGACAGCAATGGGCATGCGCCAACCATCTACTTCATATATTGTATATGACACAGCGCCCCCAGAGGTGAACCAGAGCACTACATCAACTCACCCAGCACAGTCCATGCGTTTGAACAGGCAATGCGTAAATTCTGCAATTTCGATCATCAAAGTGTTGAAATAGTTCAGAAAACGGTTTTATAAAACAGTTTTATAGAACAGTCAAGTGGTCAAATGTATTTTGTCTGTCTCTATCTTGTTAAATTTCAAAGAAATGCACAGCGGCGACTCTTCCCTTTGCGTGTTCCTACTTCCGCATATTGGCTTGTGAAATACAGCTGATTTGACCATCAAAGTGCATTTATTAAGCAAAAGTTAGACTGAGACACACCTTTTCTATAATTTCAAGCAAACAAATAAATGTTTTTAGGTGGTTACCTTGTTAAATTTTGAAGAAATGCACAGTGAAGTGCCCCTCTGCACGTGCCCGCTTCCATGAATCAGATTTTGAAATACAGCTGATTTGACCGTCAAAGTGCATTTATTAAGCAAAAGTTAGACTGAGACACAATTTTGCTGTAATGTTGAATTTATGAGCATGCATCAGGATAACTTTGCTATAATATCAATCAAACAAATAAATGTTTTTAAGTGATAATCTTGTTAAATATTTGTTAAAGTTCTTCCGTGCACGCTCCCACGGCCGCCATTTGGCAGCCAATCGATTTTTGGAACCACACCGGCCCACATTTCTGGGTTGTCAGTGGTGACACGTAACAAACGCGATGCGTCAGCGAGGACACATAATAGATGTGACGTATACGGGGAAGCAATGTATATATGGATTTTTCCACTTTATTAAGACATATTTGACCTGATTACACTTATAGGGCGGTGCAACAATAACATGGAAAATACAGTACATTCTTTGCCAACTCCTCCTTCAGGACCACCCCTACTCAATTTCTTTTTTTATCCACACCATGGTAAAACAGTTTGAACACTGCTCCAATGCTGCAAACCTTGCTTTCCTTCCTCTTGATCTCTTGGACACATAAAGCATCTACCTTCCTTCTCTGCATCATGTCAGCCAGCTCTCTACCTTTGCCTGTCATTGCCCCCACATTTAGAGCTTCAACCCTCAGTCCTACATTCTTGATTTTCCTCTTTTCCCCCTGTCTATTGACACGTTTCCCTCCTCGTGGTCTTCAACTAACAATTGCACAATTTCTGCCAGCCCACTGTTTGTCAACAGCATCGGTGGCGGTTGTTGTTAACCTGGGCTTCGACCGATCAGGCACCTCATGTTTCAATTTAAATACAATTCAGAGGGTTACGATGTTGTTTTAAAACAATTAAAGATGCGTCTCAGTTATCTACGATCATCAAGTTTGTAAAGAAAAACTGGGAGGCAGCGGGGAAGTTCATGATTTGTCTTTGGCCTATTTATCAAAAGTAAACACTCATTGAAATATTTACTTTCATTATGAAGAGTGCACATCTGCCCAAACCAACTTGATCACAGGATGTTTGCCAACAGGTAGCATAGATTCTAATGTAACATTGAAAACACAAAGTCACAAGGTTTAAGGTTCAGCAAAGAAAAGATAAAAAGGTGAAAACACACAGCTTTACTGCAACCCGTTTCTTCTTCATCTTCCTCCTTAGGAAAGAAGAACAACGGCTTGTTTTGATTGGATCATATGTTGCTACTCGAATGAGCTACATTAATGCAGCAACAACTTTGTTTAATCTCCTAAAATGGCAGCACACAAACATTCAAACGGAAACATTTTTACATTCAAAAATGAATTCAAAATCAACCAATTCAGTGATGTGATGCGTCTAAAAATAAATGACAACTGCCACCCTTACTGTTATACTGAGCTCCAGTTTCCACTAATTCACACAGAATTATTAAAATCAGAGCAAACGTACAGGCAGAGCTGATGCCCTCAGTTGACTTACCAACACAAGATTCTCTATGCTCCTCAAATCCTGCTGAGCACACACACCTCCCGATGGGAACCAGCCACTCGCCCTCTGCACTGCAATACATTTTGGGTGTGTCCCTTTCCTCAGCATGGTCCACGCATTGACCTCTGACCTCCACCAGGGAGGACGAGTCAGCTCCCGTCACCACATCGGTGAAAACGGCCAGGTTGCGGCTCACACCGACGCAGTGCTTGTAGTACACTCTCACAGAGGTGAGAGCGATGCAGGCGCCGATGTCCTGGAAGGCCAGGTAGAAGCCTCGGCGGTTCAGAGGTCCAACACCTCGCACCTGCAACCAAACAGAAGCTGTTGACTATGACATCAAGAGGACACTATTTCTTTACAAACAATTCAAATAATGAAGTCTGCATACCCTTAAAGGTTTCTACATTTTGTCACATTACAACTACAAGCTTTACAGTATTTCATGGGGATTTTATGAGAAAGACCATCACAAAGAAGTGCATAAGGTACAGATCTATGGTTTTCAGATGTTTTCTATGCTGGAGGATTCTTCCTGAAAAAAACAGAGATTTTCCTTTCCACTGTTGCCAATGTGTTGCTCGTACAGAAGGTTGTTGCAACAAAAGGAAAATAACAATCAGCTGGCTTTCTTAGATAACTTTTATTTATTGGTATTTCCATAGGTGTTGCATCATTTATGAAGGGGACATGTCCCACTCACATTTTTTTCCTTCAACCTTTATTTAGACTTCCAAAAAAGTTCAATCTGGTGCTCTGGACATTCAAAAAAACAAAAAACAAAACAAAGCAAAAAAAATGTAGAAACGTTTCGTCTCTCATCCTGAGGACTTCCTCAGTCTGAAGTGCTGTATTCAGCTCAGTCTCTTAAATAGCACCTTCTCAATTTTCACTCTACTTCTGTCTTTACTTACTCTGCTCGACCAGTTTTGTATTTGTAATTATTTTTTCTATCCTTAGCATGTGTTTTTTGTCTTTCTGGTACACCTGGACCTGGACATATACCTGGACATGTACCTGGACCTATACCTGGACCTACCATTCTGTGTTCGTCTGTCTCTCCTTCCTGTCCTCTCAACCAGCCGGTCAAAGCAGATGGTCTCTTGTCCTGAGCTGGTTCTTCTGGAGGTTTCTTCCTGTTAAAAGGGAGTTTTTCTTTCCACTGTCTCCACTGTGCTTGCTCAGGATGGGAGACTGCAATGAAGCCAAGATTCAACTTGTCTGCTGGATTCCTTAGATAGAGAACTTTACTAACTGGCTTTTATGTGAATGTTCCTGTAAAGTGCCCTGAGACAACTTTGTTGTGATTTGGAGCTTTATAAATAAACTGAATTGAATTGTAATATATGCATGAGAATAATTACACATAATTCCCCTTAGGCATTCCTGTCATGACAATCTTTAAAAATGTTCAGTTTGCTTGCACATGAACCACAAAAGTTCTGCTGCACTCCGCTTCCCTGGTTCTGCTCAACACGTGAAGAATTCAATTCATTTATCAAATGCAAGATGCTGTGTACATTTCGACATGCCTGGAAAAGATGGCAGTATGTTACAAATAGGCTTACCTCTGAAGTCAGAGTCACATTCAACCTATTTGAAATGGAATTTGTTTTCTCATATCTGGGAGTCAGAAACTCAAACAAAAACAGCTTTATTGGGTTAGCTTGACAAAACCACCTTTACCGTCAATAAATCAGATTGAACATACTGAGACACAGATGTGAGACTCCGCTCTGATTTCTGCCTTAAAGTAACTCTTTAGCGGGAGTAAACAGGACATTAGTTAGACTATTTTAGGAGGTGGATTAATCTAGAATTGATGCTATAGTAAGCAGTTTTGGTTGGAAGGCTCTGTCTGAGGGAATTAACTAAAATATGGTGTGTGTTGTTTTTCTTAAAAACTAACAAGACAAGTCTGAGTTTTGAGTAACTGAAGAACTCAGTCCAACATATTCAACTTTAGATGGATGTTTGTGTTTCTGAGGCTTCTTGTTGTGTGTTAAAGTAATATTCTGACCACAGGAGCCAGCTCACTGGAGCAGGAGAAAAACTGCACCCCCACTTTCTAAACTGGGGGGGATGATGTTTCTGCTCACTCATTTTTAGACAGTATAATAACATGTTATCACTCCTTGCACTAAGACCAAAACATTTAGTGTTTAATTTACTGTAATTTTACTTGCTGTCCCCTATTATGAAGTGAAAAGGGGGATTTGGAAATACCATCTGTCAGTGCATATTGTTTGCACGATAGCTTAAAAAAACAAGTGAGGCACAGACCTCCACTTTGGTGCGTGGCCACATTTTGGTGTAAGGAAGGTCTGTTGAAAATTGGATTGCCGAACCAAAATCCAAGATGGCTGCCACCATATATATATATATATATATATATATATATATATATATATATATATGTATAGTAACGCTTTCTCTATGCAATGTAATTCATATCACAGATGACTCTCGTTAAAGTCGGAACGTTTGTATTTGAATAGCTGTTGTAGGCCACAGCCACGCCAAACTACAGAACTGCTGTAGGAACATGAATATAGAAATGCCATTGGAACAATCTAACTACAGAACACACTACACTCCCCCACCCCCTATAGTAGAGTCCTTGACCATGAAGACGAAGTTCTGAACCTCGGTGGGAGTTGCTGCTGCCATCTGGAGCTCTGTGGATTCATGACCCCCACCAGCTGCTCTGCCCCTGGTTTTGGAGATCCCTCCTGCCCACCCCCAGTGTCTGCTGGACTGCTAGAAGCACTCCTCTTTGCAGAAGACAGTGTGGCTGGTACCCCTTCATCCCAACATATGTCCTGAGGAATAGTGATGCCCTTGTAAGGAGCAAGTCATTCTCAGTGCAGAGCTACCTTGCGTCCCCGTGGAGGCAACTGCCCCCGATAAACAACCTCCCAATTGCTCCAGGACTGCACATGGTCCAACCCTGTGACTGTCCAGCTTGGTGCGCCTGCCTCTCTTCTGCGTGGGCAGGTAGACCTACACCAACTCCCCTACGACAAAGTGCCACCCCTTGGTGTGCATGTCATAATTCCTCTTCTGTCGTACTCCAGCATCCTGAATATGCTTTCTGGCATATTCATGTGCAACGTCTAGGTGATCCTGCAGCTGCCTAGCATAGGCAGGTCCAGCAGGGGTCCCCCATGCCTCAGGAGTTCACCCGAATGCAGCTGAGTGGGCGTCCTCAGCTCATAGTCAAGCATCAGTAGAGCAGGCGTACAAGAAGTTGAATCTTGGACTGCCGTGTGGTATGGACTGCATCGACTGCATTTATATATAGTGCCTTTCTATCTTATCCAGATACTCAAAGTGCTTTACACTACAATCTGTGCCTCATTTACCCATTCATACAGCAGAGATCTAGATCTCTACAAAGCTAATTGAACAAATCATTCTAAAGAAACTAATAAGTGTTTTGAGATCACATTCATACGCTCATGGGACACACATCAAAGGCAATGAGGGGTTCAGTGTCTTGCCCAGGGACACTGCGGCATGTGACTGCTGGTGGATTCGAACCCCCAACTCTTGTATTGGAGGACGACTGCGCTAACCACTCAGCCACAGCTGCCCATAAGGACCAGTGGCAGGTGTAAATCCCAGTCGCTCTGATGACTGGATGCTATGATGGACAGCTGTTCAGCAAGGGTCCTCTTAAATGGTTCCACTAACCCGTAACTTTGTGGGTGTGGGAGGGGTGTGGTGCGAGTCTTGGCTATACCCAACTTCTCACACATGGTGGAGAAAACCCTTGATTCAAAATGTCTCCCTTGATCTCTGTGGATGGATTCTGGGACCCCCAGTCTGCAAAACATCCCCTCCATTAGGGCATCCACCACAGTTCCTGTCTCCTGGTCTTGCAGAGCAAAAGCTTCTGGCTATTTAGTAAAATAATCCACCAGTGAGAGAATGAAGCGGTTCCCCTGCTCTGTACATGGAAAGGGCCCCATGATGTCCACCCCCAACCGCTATGTAATACATTTTGACCGACCTCAGTCAAAGAATAATGTGAGTCCTTGTAACAATTGTAATTCCCCTCACTCAAAGAAAAGACAAAAAATCTGGTAATTTAAAAACACAATTCTGTAATGTTTATTTTCAGCTTGTGGATAATAAACAACAATGTGCAATTATGGCAAATATGAAATATGAATGAATAACCAATAGTATTATTTCAGAAGGTGAATAATGTAAATAGTCTGAAGACTTTAAGAAGAGGTGTGTACAATTTGGACTAAAGTTTTAGCTCTAACGTTAAAATTTAGGTAAACTTTTTCTCAGATTTGTGAACAAAATGATGTCTAAGAAAACTCGAGTTGGCACTTGTTGTTTTCTCATCAGAAGTAAGATGTTTGTCCTACCAGGGAGATGTCCAACTCTCATTATCACAACAGACATGATGATTGAGGCTGGAGGTTCACGTTGTCACCAGAGGGTTGTTTTTTCTTCAGGGACCACTCTTGGGGTGTTAGAGCATTTCATGGACTTTTCCATTTCTCATCTGACTGGCTCAGTGCCAACCCTCTGCAGCTCACGTGCAACTCTCCAGCCAGCTTCGGACAACTTCTTCTATCATGACTGCTTCTGCTTCTCCACCATGAGACTGCTTCAACAACTCTCTCCTTCACAACTCTTCTGGTGTATTACCTGACACCAGGAGAGACCATGTCCCCTGATCTTAACCAATCAGAGTGGTATCACAGTGGATGTGAACCAACTGCATAATTAATATTTTAATTATACCCTTCCCTCTCAAAGTCTTTAAAGGAGGAACACAATAGCTTTTGTTGAAAATGGTGGTACCTTGTTTTTACATAAACACCATTCCTTTAGCAAATGCAATTTTAATTCCTGACACACACACATTGAAAACAGTGGGTTACTTCCTGGTTGTTATGACAACCTCAGTCCTTGTTGGTATGGCAAAGTTCACTCTTTCTTATGGACTTTTGCTCAGAGACTGAATGTCTGTCATTAAAGCCACCAGTATACTCCTGCGTACATCCGTTCACGCGTACGTATGCGTGTACTGTACGCAGAGGGTTCAGACTCCAGAGTACACTCTGAGCAGCTGCAGAGCAGCTTCACAGACAAGGGGCGTTTACCTTTGGGACAAATTGAGGTTGCTGATTGGTCATTTGCTGACACGCCTACTTGATTGGTTGACAGGTCGGTGGGGGGGAGGGGGAACGAGCGCTGGCAGTCTCAGCCACAGCGGTGTCCTGTGTTCATATGTTGTTAATAAAAATATCTAAAAAAAATTTAAAAACAGGGAGCGCTGGCTCTACAGCCCACACATCAGACCAGCCCACCAGGAAATCTCCAGACCCTCCCGCAGCCACGCTGGACCTGAGTTTAATTCGTTCGTGACAAATTCCTTCATTTCTCACCATTTCAGTCATGGCATCAACGGAGGAGGAAGAGATCACTGCCTCTTGGCAAAAAAACAAAAGAAAAGACCAGATCAGAGATGAAGAAGAGGAATTTAATACATTGGTGTTGCATACAAAACAGTCCGTCACTGGGCAGTTTATTGTGCGACACTGCGTACGCGTATGCAGTTGTAAAAATTTGAACTTTGCAAGGACATGCCCTGGGGGGTACGCTCGTACCTCCGCGTACGTACATGCATACCTCCGCGTTTGGAGGTACGCTGCAGTACACTGGAGGTTTAACACAGAGGGTTAATTATCATAGTCAGTAAGGAGTGGATGGTCAGGATGTTGACCTGAATAGATGTAGTAGATTTAGCGTGGGGGGGGGGTAGGTGTTAGAAGAGACGCTCTGTTTCTGAGGACGGTTTGTCCTTTTGAGGGACGTTGGTTAAACGTTACAAGGCCATGAACCACTGCAGTGATGCATGATCAGTGCATATGGTGAAGGGATGCCCACACAGGTAATATTTAAAGTGACAGACAGCCAAAACCACAGCCAACAGCTCTCTGTGAGTGACACTACCTTCACTCTGCCTTACTCAAAGCCTTACTGTAGTAGTCTCTTTTCCTCCAGGTTCTGTTCAGTGGTGGGTTTTGTAGATTTCCTCGCTGACTTGACAAAGGCCCAGTTAGGATATCCACATGTTTGGAGAGCTTCTTTGATGTGTTTTTGTTCCTTTTCCTTCCCTTCTGTCTTTGTGGGGATGTGTTCTATCTTATCTTATTTTATCTTAAATATTTACAGATAAGAAATAGGCTATAATGAGATGTGACAGTGGCCGGGAGTGTTGTGATCTGTGGTGATGAATCCCCATGGACTATGATGTTTGCAGATGACATTGTGATCTGTGTTGAAAACAGGAACAGGTGGAAAACTTGGAAAGGTGGAGGTTTGCACCTGATTTTGGAGGGAGGAGGGACAGTGGTTTGGACATGTCCAGAGGAGGGACAGTGGTTTGGACATTTCCAGAGGAGGGACAGTGGTTTGGACATGTCCAGAGGAGGGACAGTGGTTTGGACATGTCCAGAGGAGGGACAGTGGGTATACTGGTAGAAGCATGTTAGAAATGCAGCTGCCAGGAAAAAGACAAAGAGGAGATAATGGATGCAGTTAGAGAGGACATGGAGGTAGTTGGAGTGAGGACAGAGGATGCAGAGGACAGAGTGAGGTGGAGAAGGAGGACTCACTGTGGAGACCTCTGAAGAGGGAACAGCTAAAAGAAGAATAAGCTGAAATTCATTCCGAACACAAACTGTCAAACAGTATCACTGGAGATGGAACAAAATACTTTATAGTTTTGTTTTTTCAAAGTTTGACCAAAACATTTTGAACTCCATTATTTTTCCACCTAAGATGATTTCAGTTTAAACCTTTGGCAGTAAAGGGTGAAGGCTGTCCATTATTTCAAGGAATCCTAAGCATTTTATGTGGAGGAGTTTTGACTGTACTTCAGAGAAAAACAAACAAACAACTCTGTTAGCCAAATATTAATTCAGATCTTTATACTTTTCAGCTGCAATCTAATTTAGCTCATGTTACCCAATGTAAAGAATAAATGGGACCATTTTCATATCTCCACCACAGCTATTTTTACCATCCAGAATCAAATCTGAAGCTGTTGTCAATATCAACTTATTTCCCATGACATTAGATCAAGCACTAACAACTTTATTGTTGGATTTGAGACGTAAAGACGAAACAAGCCGAGTGACAAAAAGAGGAGCAGAGCCTCTCCGAGGTCTCTTCCAGGGCCCAAACTTAAAGTTTATGACACTTAATGAAATATGCCTATAGTGTGATCCAGTGTTAGAGTTTACCTCTGTGTTGAGTTTCAGTCTGCGCACCCCCAGGTCCACTCCTGTGAAGCTTTCATCAGCAGCGATGGTGTCGATCTTTATGAACTGGTTCTCTCGTATGGATGAGCCCACATCTCTGTCAGACTCGTAGTAGTACATGTTGAAGGTTTCCTGCAGAACAGATACAGTCAGCGGTGCTGCATGCAGTCAGTGATGTCACCGTCCCACAAACTGAAGCTTTACAGCAGAAAGGTACAGTAGACAAAATATATCATCAAAAGGAAAACACCTACACTTCCCGCAGAGCTGCAGATTGAATGCTGAGTGCTAAGGGGCTATTATTTAGCTAAATAAATTAGCTAAAGAAGTTCAAACTAAGTAACGAAGAAGCTAAAAGAGAAACAGAGGTCAAAGGTAAATATGGCAAAACGTTAGCTAAAATATATCCTGATGCATGCTCAATAATCCAGGTAAAAAAAAAGTTAAGTCTGGTCCTCTAGACATAACAAAACAAAGCAAAACAAAAAAAATGTAGAAACGTTTCGTCTTTCATCCAAAAGACTTCTTCAGTCTGAGGTGCTGTATTCAGCTCAGTCTTATAAATAGCACCTTATTGTAGTGGCTCAACCAGTTTTGCTGCTGACAACCAAAACCAGCTGATCACATGCTCAAGAAGGACCATCAGCCTAACAATGGATCATTAGCACACTGATGGCTGTTTACTATTCACAGGGGGTTGAGTGATACTAGCAATAACAGCATTGTAAGAGGGGGACAGTTGAACCCGGAGGCCTCCACCCCTGTTTAATGATGGACCCATCACCCTTTGGAGAACAAGTTAGGAGTCATCAGGACTCTGTACCACAGAACAGACAGCGTCCCCACTAACTCAGGAGCCAGGCAGAAGGAGAAATCCCACACAAGACAGGCTCTAGAGCAATGTGGATATCCTAACTGGGCCTTCCTCATTTATAGGGTCCTGGACTCCTCCTTCGCAGAAGGGGAGCTCAACCTGTCAGTGCATGAGGGGGCGTGGCTAAGTGTGATATCAGTGGATCTTATGTGGTTCTGATGTGTTAGGAAATATGAGATGTGCTTCAAAATCCTCTCTACGTGATGTGGCAACTTCAAGCAGAAATAAAGTTTGTTCCTTGACAGATATTGAATCCCAGGGAGACTCTTTTTACAGTTTTTGGCCCAGTTTAACCCAGTCAGAACCGGGTCATAATTTCATCCCGTCCCTGAGCAGATCAAAAACCCCACGACCAGTCGGAAAAATATCTAACATTTTTTAAACACAACGTCCCAGTGGCTTTTAAACCCCAAAATACATTACGGCAAAGACTGGTTCATCCCAAAGATCCAGTCCCCCGGCACAAACAGAGTAATGTTGTGTATGCTGTTCAGTGTCAGGAGGGTGATCAGTCTTACATGGGGGAAACTAAACAGCCACTGGCCAAAAGGATGGACCAGCACAGAAGATCAACATCATCAGGCCAGGACTCTGAGGTCTACACTCATCTCCAGGCCAGAGGTCACTCTTTCAGGTGTAGTGAGACACGTGAGGTACGTGTCACTTGTTGTATGACAAATATATGAATTATATATGCATACAATATTCACGAGTTCTTCATTTTTCTGACTGTAAATGCCGTGCATTGAATTTAACAGAAATGTGAACGAGAGACGTTATTTATCTTTGACCCATCAAATGAATGGAATCATTTATTTTCAAAATCAAAGTTTAACATCAAACATTTACATTAATTTGGCAAAATATGAAAATAATAACAGACAGTTTCACAGAAAATGAACTTCAAATCACTCGGCGGTGATTTGAGGACTTTGCTTCAGACATTTCTAAAAATATCTGTACTGTTTTATGAGAGAGAGGTGAGTTTTGGAGTGAAAGGAGATTATCTTACAGAGAACTGTGTGAGGGAAGTTTAATCTGTTTAACCAGAAATTGCACGCTTCGTCAGATCCTCAGCCCGTCCACGGTACACTTGAGTCGAAGAAGAAATCTTTACCTGGTTTGACGATAGATCAGCACAGTAAAAGTCCTTCAGACTGTTTCAGCGCCTCCGTTTAGAACAGCTAGAAATCCTCGGAGAGTCGTGCGTGGTTAGTTCAAACAGAAGTTATAATCCCAAACGTTCCTGGTTCTTCATAACTCCAAACTCTTCATAACTCTGAAGCTTTCAGCACCGACTGCATTCTCAATCTTGGAACTCTCACGTTCTCCAGAACTCTCAATCTAACTTGAACTGGGGAGTTGCCACATTTTATTTGGGTCGACTTCCTGTTCAATTTAGAGCTTTCTGATTCGTGGAAGGACCAGAAAGAGGAGTGGTTTTTGACGTAAGGTGTTTATCAACAGTCGAGGTCAGAGAATGAAACTTGTTTAACATACAGAAAAGATTATTGCAGAAGCAGCAGACTTTTTGGAGTCTACTCTTAGTAATCTTCTGAAAAAGTTTAAACATGACATTTCTTCTTCAGTAAACATTTTAGTTGACCGAAGACCAACCTTTCACATACTTACGACAGCTTGCTCATTTCAGACAGAAAAATCAAGAAAGGCATATTCAGGTGATTTCTGCTTTGAATGAGGAACAAAAATCATTACTTACTGTTTATGTAAAATAAAAATTAGTAGTTCTTTTCAACCTGTAAAGCATTGAGTGAACTAACACAATTTGATTATCAAAACATTTGTAAGACAGTAATGATTATAAAGAATTGTCTTTTCTGCTTGATTAATTCAAGAAAGAAAGTTCATCAGATGGCCCAGACTTATTCAGATCAATGAAAATAACAGTCTCTGTCCATCTGGTAGATTTGAGGTCTTCTGGTTCACTACAGTCCCCCCTTTGGAAATCATCACCTGTCCATGGGGATGAATTCCAACCGTGAACTTAGACCTTCAAATGTCCTTGAGCTTGATGTAATCCAGCAAGGAAGACCAAAGTCAGAAGTAATCCTTCAAGGAAGACTAAAGTCAGAAGTAATCCAGCAAGGAAACAAAGTCAAGGTAATTCCACAATGTTCTTGGTATTCCATTGTGTTGATCATAATCCCATATCGTCTCGATAATCCCATTGTAGCAATGCCTTAACCCCTTGGAAACAGAGTCTGTAATCCATTGGAAAAAGTCATATAATCCACAACGGTAAATCCACAGCGATTGGAAGTGTTGATTAATCAGCATACAGAGGGGTGCCCTTGGATTGAACTGAAGAAGCGGCCACTGGATGAAGAGTTGAGACCAACGTCAGGATTGCAGATCGCCTCCAGCGAAGGTTGTCTCCAGCGACGTCCAGCCTGTGCCATTCTGGTTCAATGTGTCATGCAATTATGTGGTTTAAGGTGGGCTTATGAAGGGGATTTTACATAAGGCCTTAAACTATATGCACCTGGTGTGTAAGCTATTATGGTTGGGAACAGCTACAACTACCAGTTAAGGGGTGGAGAATGCTGAAAAGGGGTAACTACAGGGGTTTATGCCTATAGAAAAGTGTTCCAAACTATTTTTCCATTTCTAACTTGGTTTAAGTTAGCTTTACATGGTAAGGTATAGTTTGGTGTAATTGTCTGTTGTCTTTTAGACGAACGACTTGAGATTGGGTGTTTGGTTTTCCCATAAATGTTTTGGAAGTCTATGGCGAGACTTATCAAAAAGAATTAGCTATCCCCCCGAATAGAATTGTTCGAGTAGGTTCGGCTTAAGCGTTGTGAGATCAATGTAGATTATGGTACTCAAAGTAGCAATAATATACATTGACTCCGCAAAGATTGCAATTTAGTGAATGAACTGCATGTTGGCATGGTTAAAGGCTTCTTAGTCTCTAACTTAACTACACAACAAAATTCATTCTTCCTTCAGAAACAACCAAAATCAACTAAACAACGTTCCAACACCGACAAGAGTAGTGACTAAGCATCTAGAAACATCGTTTCACAGCTTCTCCTCACCCTGGTTGCCAGATTCAGTCACGTTGTCCCGTTTTATCAAGGGTAGGTCCTGCGAGTTTAAACTATGGTTAATTTTATTATCCATTAGTTATCTACTGCTTGGGTGACCCTTGTTCCCACGAGGTCTGATTTTGTGATGTCATTGTCTCCTAAGGAGTCATTGCACGCCTTGTGTAATTTAACCTGGTTACGGTGTACCCATTTAACAGTTGGCTCTTTTTGGCCTTTACTGATTTTTATCTGGTAGATAATTGGAGACACTTTGTCGGTTATCAGATGGGGTCCAGTCCATCTGGGCATCAGCTTACGGGCGAGAGTTCCGGTCCCGGACTCTACTCTCCCAGTTTTGGGTGCAAACGTGTAGTACCAGACCCTGTCTCCCACTTGGAGTTCCTCGTAAGAGGCCTTTTGGTCGTAGTACGCTTTGCGTCCTTCAGCTGATTTTTCCAGGTTTTTCTGTGCGAAAGCAAAAGTGTTCTTAAGATGTCTTTCCAAGTCTTTCATGTATTGTTGTGTGGTGTAGGCTGTTGCCATGGCAGCATCGCCTGGTTGGTACAGCAGGTGCAGAGGGAGAGTCATTTGTCGACCCGTCATCATCTCGAAAGGAGCGATGCCAGTCGACGTGTGTGGAGTGGCCCTTATGGCCATGAGGACCAGAGGGAGTTTCACGTCCCAGTCCTTGTGGTTTGCGGCTACGTATTTTTTCAAAATACTCACCACCGTCCTATTTGCTCTCTCAACCTGGCCTGAAGCCTGTGGGTGGTAGCCAATATGGAAGTTGGCTTTGACGCCTAGCGTCTTCCACAGTTCCTTCATTACTTCACCTGTGAAGTGTGTACCTTGGTCCGAGTTCACCCTAAGGGGAAGTCCAAACCTTGAAAATACATGATTCATTAATAACATAGCAGTGGTTTGTGCTGTGTCATTAGGGGCTGGTAGACATTCTACCCATTTGGTAAACGCGCAGGTTACCGTGAGAAAATATTTATTTCCTCTAGAGGTCTTAGTGAGTGGTCCGACCCAGTCAATCTGGAGGTCCGACCATGGAAATGCAATGCCTCTACTATGCAGTGGTGCTCTGTGAAGTGGTCTGGATGGTTGAAACTGGCCACAGATCAGGCACCCTTTTATGTAGTCCTTGACATCCTTTTTCATTCCAGGCCAATAAGCAATTTGTTTTAATGCTTTCAGCGTGG